AACCAAAATTCTACCAAAATTCAGAATTCGAAATCCCAAAATCCGGCCAAAATCCGGCCCAAAATCCGGCCAACCAAAATTCTACCGAAATTCAGAATTCGAAATCTCAAATGCGGCCAAAATCCGGCCCAAAATTTGGCCAAAATCCGGCCAACCAAAATTCTACCAAAATTCAAAATTCGAAATCCGAAATCCCGATAGGATCCTAGAGGGGTCAGTCACAGGTTGGTCCCGAGCAGGGTGTACAGGGGTACCTCGCTCATATGTAGGGGGCGGGGGGTAGGGTGTAGGTGGTGGGGTGTACGAGCCCACCGCTCGTAGGCGGTGGGGTGTAGAGTCTACGACCCCACCGCTCGTAGGCGGTGGGGTGTAGAGGGTGAGTGGCAGGGAGTAGGATGAAGGGAGAAGGGTGGAAGGAGAAGGGTGGATGGAGGGAGAAGGGTCTAGGGAGAAGGGTGTGGGGTGTAGGGGGTGGTGAGTAGGGGGTCCGGTGCAGGGGGTTCCAAGGAGGAGGAATTCGGGAATTCGGCAGAATTCCCAAGTCCTTTTGCGCGCAAGGAAAATCCAATCGTCGAACCACGGGAAAAGTTACAGCCGAAAAACGGATTTCGTGCGCCGGTGGCGGAGAAAAATGCACCATCGGGAGCGCACTGGCGTGAATGTATTGCGTGCCCCAAAAATATCGCGGATCGGACCTCCCGCCGGGAAGCCGCGAAATGACCCGAATCGGGTTTTGGGGGCCGAGTCTCTTTACCACACGGCAACTCCCGAGGATTTTCGCGCCGGGGTTTCCGTGTTATGAGAATGCCGATTTGGTGCATGTTGTGTATCCAGCTGGAAAGCGGTGGTGGCCGAGTTGGTCTAAGGCGTCGCGTTAAGGCCGCGATCTCTTCGGAGGCGCGGGTTCGAATCCCGTCTACCGCAACATGCTGATTCCCTTTTTGCAGAATTCCGAACCTCCCCGCGCCACCTGATCCGCACAAACTTTTTTTGCCGGCAGTCGCTTTAACTCGGAGAGGGAAGGAGTTAAATAAGGCTGGGCGGGCAAAGATAAGGCACTGCGAACCTTCGTACTACCAGGCATAGGAGAAAAACGTAGGGTTGATAACGATCCCGTCCTGATGCCGACGAGTTATCACAAGGTTACGAGGCGCAGTTTCAACCAAACGGGGCAGAAAGGGCAAAAAGGGGATTTGTAGAGGGACAAAAAAGGGCAAAAAGAGAAGATAGGCTGGCGCCGAACTCTGTATATCCACGGATTTTACCCGGGATCTCACCCGACGCGGGACTTGAACCCGCAACCTCCGGATTAGAAGTCCGGCGCTCTGTCCATTGAGCCAGCCGGGCGTGATGCGCTTGATGAAATCAAGAATCAGCCAACTCCAGAAATCAGAATCTTCGCAATATGAAGGAGACTGAGGGGCCGCCCCCGATCCGTAGGGACCCCCCTATGCCCCTACGGGTCGCCTACCGTAGGGCCCTGCGGATTCCTGGAATTCGGGACTTCAGGATTTTTCGGGCGACATGTCACCCGTCTAAATCGAGGGCCACGGGAGGGGCCCGGTGTTTGCAGGTTTGGCGGGCTGGGAAAGGGGGGCTCCGCAACCCCTCCGCTGCCCCACAGTGGAGCGGAATGCAGGCCCGTGGGCCCCCACACACGAGGCCCGTGGACCCCACGGCCCCCCCAGCGAGTCCCTTCCACGGCCTGGGTCCAGCTTCATGAGGCGACAGAGGGGGCGCGGAGAGAGGGGGCGCCCCGCGCCTCCTCCACGCCCCCACCCGCCGCCAACCTGCCGCCCCATGATGACATGCCACACGCCCCATGATGACACGCCAATCCGCCGCCCCATGATGCCCCCACCCGCCGCCAATCTGATGCCGCCCCATGATGACATGCATGACCGTGGGTTCTACGGTGCTTTGGTCGGCGGCCGCTGTGCATGTGCTGCGCTCCCCCTCCATACCCCAACTCAGACACGCCCTCAGGTGTGGGCCCAGGCCCCCAGGCGTGGGACCATCTGTGGAGGGATTGGTTGGGGGAATCCATGGCGCGCGGGGTCCAGCTCCTGCGCGCCATGGAGACGGGACTGCCGGCTGCGGGGCGCTCCCCTGCCTTTCCCTCGTAGTCTCATAGCTCTCCTCAGATGCCCTGCAGGCGCACCTGCTTGGCCGCCGTGAGGCCCATACCAGAGCTTCGGCGCTGGGAGATTGAAGGGCTGAGCGAGTGCTGCTCTGCTGCTGGCAGGTCTTGGCTGCCGCGTTTCTGTGCCTGCGCCGCGGTTTCCAGGATCAGGAAAGGGTGTGGCGACGCACGCGGCCACGTGCGGACTCCCAAGTCCACCTGGGAGTCCGGGTGGTCCTCCACCCCTTGCCGATGACCCTGCTGCGCCAATGGTACCTGACCCCTCCTCAACTCGCGTGCGCCCTCGCTGCTCGCCAGACTGCCGGAACGAGTTTTCCGGATGATTTTCATGTTCCCACCTACCTGTACGCGAGTGCGCAGGGTTGCCGCGCTCATAAGAGCCGCCCTACCTAGGACCCTACAGTAGGGACTATCCATGGCCCTACGGTGGTCCTGGGGGGCGGGGGGGCTCCTTCTGAGCGAGGCACCCCTGTGATTGAGGAATTGAGCGCTCAATCCCCCCCCCTGTGATTGAGGAATTGAGCGCTCAATTCCCCCCCCTGTGATTGAGGGATTGAGCCCCTGTGAGAGGAATTGAGCCCCTGTGACAATCACCCCTGTGATTGAGGAATTGAGCGAGCGCTGCTGTCAGGTCGTGGCTGCTTCCTTCCTGCTCGGCGAACAGGCCTCCTCCTTCCCCCCTCGGCGTCTCTGCTGAAGATCCCCCCCTAACCCGTAAACCCTGAACCATTAACCATTAACCATAAACCATAGACCATAAACCATATAACCTGAACGCTAAACCCTAAACCCTAAACCACAAACCCTAAACCCTAAACCACAAACCCTAAACCCTAAACCCTAAACCCTAAACCCTAAACCCTAAACTCTAAACCCTAAGCCCTAAAACCTCCGCCATCGGTAGTTGCTCCCCCCTTTCTCAACTCGCGTGGAACCTCGCTGCTCACCAGACTGCCCGAAAACCAAAAACCGAAAACCGAAAAACCGAAACCCTAAAACCTAAACCCTAAAACCTGAACTCTGAACCCTAAAACCTGTACCCCAACCCCAAAACTACATAGCTGCTCACCACACTGCCCCGCCGTTTCGCTGTCGCCTCCCACCTGAACGCGAGCTGAACAGGAGTATAATAAGCATCGCCCCCCCCCAGGATCCTACAGTAGGCCTATCCCTTAAGTGACCAACGGGTGAATAATCGCCCGTGGAAGCCCTAGGCAGGTCCTAGGGCCCTACGGTAGGGCGTATGAGCCTACTGGTCACTTAAGGGATAATAAGGATCGCCCCCCCCTAGGACCCTACGGTAGGCCTATACCCATAGCCCTACGGTGGTCCAACGCGGGAAGGGGGCTTCTAATTTTTGCGTAACCCCTGTACAACGAACACCGATGGCTTTCATTGAATCCGCAGCTACGCGACCCCCCCTCAAGCACGCGGGGAAACCCTAAACCCTGAACCCTAAACCCTAAACCCTAAACCCTAAACCCTAAACCCTAAACCCTAAACCCTAAACCCTAAACCCTAAACCCTACAAGTAGACCCTAAAACCTAAAACTTAAACCTAAAACTTAAACCTAAAACCCTAAACCCTAGACTCTAGACCCTAGACCCCTAGACCCTAGACCCTAAACCCTAAACCCTAAACCCTAAACCCTAAACCCTGAGTGTTCGCCGTATCCCGATCACCACGGAGGCGCTTCCTAACTCTTGCTGACTATTCTTAAGTTGGCGTGTGGGTGTGAGGTACCAATCCGTCATCTTCGGAGCGGGAAAGAGACTGGTCTCCCCAACTTGGTAAGACCACATAGACTGAGACGGCGCTAGGCGCCCTGCCTCAGTTGGGTTCAAGGACTATTCTCGAAGTTGGCATCCTCGGTCCGTGGTTCAAATTCGTCGACTTGAGAGCGAAAAAGAGCCCCGCCTTTCCAAACTGGAGAGACGGAATCAGACTGAGACTGAGCTAGTCCTCCTTGATGTGTGCTGACAGGGGTGTGATCGCTCGGGGGACGGTCAAACTCATGGCTGCCGAGCGACAAATCGGGTCTGCCGCTGCTCGGTCAAGACCCGACTCCTCTGTTGTGCAGCATTGCTTCGCTCATAAGACTTTTGCGCACACTGATAGGACCGTACAGGGGTTACTTGAAATTGAGGCCACGCGTCGCAATACAGTTGTACCTCGCTCATAAGAAACCGCCCCCCCCCTAGGACCACCATAGGGCCCTAGGCATAGGCCTACTGTAGGGTCCTAGGGGGGGGCGTTTTCTTATGAGCGAGGTACCCCTGTAGGGTCCTACCGTAGGGCTAGTCCTAGGAGCGTAGGAACACCCTACGGGCGGTGTGTGTACCTTTTTTCGAGTACATGCAACCTATGTAGGCCTATGCAGGGCCCTAAAGGGGTACCTCGCTCATAAGAAACCGCACCCCCCCTCTAGGACCCTACAGTAGGCCTATGCCTAGGGCTCTATGGTGGTCCTAGGGGGGGGGCGGTTTCTTATGAGCGAGGTACCCCTGTACGGTGGTCATAAGGGGGTGGGGGGTGGGGGGGCAATGTCTTCGAGCGAGGTTTCCGGACTCTTTGGGTTCAGGGTTTAAGGGGAAATACATGTACTTCTCGCTCGCATAAATCAGTTTGCTGTGCCCTCGCCTCCGCCCGAACAAACGTTATTTTCTTGTACCACGGTCCACGAACAAACATCCTCTCTTTTCCCTCCCACCCCCTGGAAGTTTCGTACTGGTAGGGGCTCGTAAGCCTTCCCACAACAGCATCCAGAGGAAGCGGTGGTGGCCGAGTTGGTCTAAGGCGTCCCGTTAAGGCCGCGATCTCTTCGGAGGCGCGGGTTCGAATCCCGTCTACCACAACATTCAGCATGCTTTCTTTTTGCAAAATTCCACCTCTCTCCGCGCCACCAAACGGGCTGCCGCAGATTTGACTTTTTTTTGGTTTTTTTGTTTTTTTGTTTGGAGTTGAGGACAAATAAAAAAACGCTGTTTCCGTTTTTTTCATGTTTAGGGTTTAGCTTTAAAAACATGGGTTGAGGGTTTGGGGTTCAGGGTTCAGGGTTCAGGGTTCAGGTTTCAGGGTTGAGGGTGTAGCGATTAGGGTTTAGGGTTTAGGGATTAGGGTTTGGGGTTTAGTATTTAAGTTTTAGTGTTTAGTATTTAGGTTTTAGGGTTTAGGGTTCAGGGTTCAGGGGTTTAGGGCCAAGGGTTTCGGTTTTCGGGTTGCGGGTTTAAGGTTTGGGTTTAGGTTTAGGTTTAGGGTTTAGGGTTTAGGGTTTAGGGTTTAGGGGTTAGGATTTCGGGTTTCGAATTGAGGTTGTAGGGTTAAGGATTAAGGGGTGAGGAGTTATGGTTTAGGGTTTAGGGTTCAGGGTTTAGGGTTTAGGGTTTAGGATTTGGGGTTTATGGTTTAGGGTTTAGGTTTTAGTGTTTAGGGTTTAGGATTCAGGTTTTAGGGTTCATGGTTTAGTATTCAGGGTTCAGGGTTTTGGATATAGGGTTTAGGGTCTATGGTTCAGGGTTTAGGGTTTAGGGTTTAGGGTTCAAGGTTTAAGGTTTAGGGTTTAGAATAAGGGGTTTAGGGTTTGGGGTTCAGGGTTGAGAGTTTAGGGTTTAGGGTTTAGGGTTCAGAGTTTAGAGTTTGGGGTTTAAGTGTTAGGATCTAGGGTTTATGGTTTAAGGTTTAGGGTTTAGGATTCATGGTTTAGGGTTCAGGGTTTAGGGTTTAGGGTTTAGGTCCTTCAGGTCTTTTAGGTTTTAATTTCTCCCAACATGTGCCAACGACACGCCCTTCCGCAGAAAGGACTGCAGAGAAAGCATCTTTGCTTTCGGATCGCGTTTAGCTCTCCAGTGCAGAGGCTCGTGAAGAGGGGATACAGGGTGGCTCTGTTGGGGTGTTTGAGTTAATCCAAGAGGATCGCGCTCGCATTTAGGGTTTAGGGTTTAGGGTTTAGGGTTTAGGGTTTAGGCTTTCGGGTTTAGAGCTTAGGGTTTAAGGTTTAGGGTTTAGGGTTTAGGGTTTAGGGTGTAGGGTTCAGGGTTCAGGGTTCAGGGTTTTTGGTTTAGGACTTTCCGGTTTAGAGCTTAGGGTTTAAGGTTTAGGGTTTAGGGTTTAGGGTTTAGGGTTTAAGGTGTAGGGTGTAGGGTGTAGGGTGTAGGGTTCAGGGTTCAGGGTTTAGGGTTTAGGGCTTCCTGAAGAATTTCCTGA